TCCTATCCTCTTGGACATCTCGATCGGTTTCTCCAGCAGCATCGATATGACGACCAGCTGAGAGTACGATATCGCTTCTAGATACCTAAGTTTGTGCTAATATCAAAATGAATACAAAGACCACTATAGTTGTTAGCGTTACTACTAAAATGGTCCAAATTTCGACATCAAATGGTTTCAGGAGGACTTTGAAGGATAACTCTTCTCTTGAATAACACGTCATGAAGGAAAATCCTTGGTCAATGGTGGTATAATAATGTTCTAGTTGACGTTGTCCTAGATCGGACAAGGGATCACGGTACTCGTCGGCAGAAATGTATTCAATATAAGTTTTTCTGGTCATATTTCCTCGAACTCGTGTATGTTTTTCCGCACGGTTGTTAAAATCTTCATGGTCAGTCATTCCAAAAGAAAAATTTCCGAGACAGAAGAAAAGCGTATCGCGCGGGCGATATCGATGCTCGCGCACTAATCGGTACGGACCCTTCTGACATGCTTCACAAGATTCGCTTCTGGAATAAAAGCAACTCAAGGTAAGAAGCGATTTCCTTTTGACGGATATATAAACATCTGACGGGGGTTGTACAAAATCATAAAATTTTGAATAATTGCTGGTTATTGCAGTAGCTTGTGATTGTAAAATTAACATGGGAAAGCGGGACATCCCGGAAACGTACCAGCGAGCTTGATTACCTTCCAAAATTAAGTGGAGACATGACTTATACATTACTAAAGCTGCCGTATCTAGGACAACGCGACTGATACCTATTTGAACTCGAACTAACAGGAATGTCCTAAAATTAGCACCATCTTCAATAATTGGAGAGTTCAGGTACAAAATTTTGTACATAAAATCTATTTGGCGGTTAGTCAACGCGTGCACTTTCTGGATTGATAGGTCATCTAGTTTCTGTTCAAAATCTGAAGGTTGTGTTATTTGAACGCCAATAAAACAGGGAAACTGGGCTTTGCTTAAAGTAGCAAATATTGCACGCGGATATTGAGTCTTGTTGAATAAAGGATACACAAAAGGATAACGGGATGATGTGTCCACCCTTAATTTTGGGATGTGAAAAATGTACACGCCTTTTTTCGATGGGATTGGAGGTGATATTTTATCTGACATTGAATAGTGATTGTGATGAACTATAATCATGTGACACTTAGGGTCCAAATATTGGAGCACGGCTGTCGTTAAGTCGAACGTAGTTTGCTCAGACGATGTGGAGACGAAGCAACAAATACAGGACATAACAACCACTTTATGGAACAGGAATCCCATTTCGCATTTCGGATTTTCGGTCTGGATATCTCGCTAATTGCTTGAGGCTTTATCTTGTTGTTATTGTTGTTTACATACCTATTTAGTTCTTCGACTCACAAACAAGTCCCCATCTATTCATAGTTTTTTTCGTTCTTTCAGCACACATATCCGCACCTGGGATTGTGAAGAGTACAACTACATACATCCGATCTAGAAAAGATAGAGTTGCAAATCCGATCCTCAAATAACACGATTAATCTGTTTGGTTCCCTACGTAAAACATGCCAATTTTCTTTATGCTCAGTAAAAATCCTAATCGCTATACATATTGTACTGTATGAGAATAAGGTAGGCGAGACTTAAGGGTTCACATACTTACTTAAAGACTTTACTGTGTTACATGAGTAAGATTAACATGGAAACAGAAGTAGAGATCTGAACACTAGGCGCGGCGGATTCAGTACGTCGAGAAGCAAGTTCTGGGCCACTACTTATAAGTAGAGAACTAAGACCTATACCGCCACGTCGGCACATTTACTGGACTATACCGGTATAAACTGGACATGACATCCTAACTTTGAGATACATAATTGTATGAAAAGCTACATATGCATATACCACACATATAAAGGTCATGGAAATTTGTTTAATACGATATGACTTGCTTTCTTTATCAACGCATATTGTATTTAGCGTTATAAAACGAAATGAATATAATTCGAACTTGTCCTGGCTAAGCTACTGTTAGTGTATATAAAAAGTAGCCGAGTGAATTTTTATACATGACTAGCTTCAGAAAAACCGGTACATGGTGTTGGACGAGTTGTCGCAAAACTCAAAACGCTCTTACACGTGTCCAATATAATAAAAAATTAAGGTATACATGTTCGCGCGTTTTTTCTCAATGTGCCCCAATTTTTTTATATCACCCCAAATACTGGAAAAAATCATTGTGACGCTTCTAGTATGCTGATTTCTGCCAAACTTGGCAAGCTTTCCTTATTTGGGATCGCCCACAGTGCCTAAGAGAATTGGCCCCCTAGGTTGAAATTTATAATGCCAATTACCTGACAATTTTGACAATTTTTTTCGTTTTTTCGACATATTTTCCTAGTTTATGGAATGGTATCCTTCTAGCTTCATATCTCTACAGAAACCCTACATTCTGCTTCGAATACCGTTTACCCGAACCTGATAGCGAAACTATTAAGGGTACTTTGTAGGGAGATCGATTTTCATACATGTTCCACCGAAATACCGATAATGCTAATTCTTTCCATTAGTATCAGTCCTACCTACCCCAATTTTTGACATCTTCTACATATTTAGTAGTCGAACAATTGTTGATTGCAAAAAAGGTCGAAATCGACCTGTTTGACCTATGTTCAGGGGGTGGGGGAAGTTGTCGGGAGGTCAAGTCTCACATAACCCCATAAGTGGGGTATCGTTGGAAAGGTCTCGGTGAGAGGATTTAGAATATATATATTTTGTGGGATCTGGGACCACCCCCTAATAATTTAGAGACAGAGAAATATAATTGAGTTTTCATCAATCTACTGCTATGTTAGCTCTCAATCTGCTCCAGTGTTAACAGCTGTATACCTGGAAAAATAAAACTCATTACTGCTACACTGTACCGAGACCTTTCCAACGATACCCCACTTATGGGGTTATGTGAGACTTGATCTCCCGACAACTTCCCCCACCCCCTGAACATAGGTCAAACAGGTCGATTTCGACCTTTTTTGCAATCAACAATTGTTCGACTACTAAATATGTAGAAGATGTCAAAAATTGGGGTAGGTGGGACTGATACTAAGGGAAAGAATTAGCATTATTGGTATTTCGGTGGAACATGTATGAAAATCGATCTCCCTACAAAGTACCCTTAATAGTTTCGCTATCAGGTTAGGGTAAACGGTATTCGAAGCAGAATATAGGGTTTCTGTAGAGACATGAAGCTAGAAGGATACCATTCCATAAACTAGGAAAATATGTCGAAAAAACGAAAAAAATTGTCAAAATTGTCAGGTAATTGGCATTATAAATTTCAACCTAGGGGGCCAATTCTCTTAGGCACTGTGGGCGATCCCAAATAAGGAAAGCTTGCCAAGTTTGGCAGAAATCAGCATACTAGAAGCGTCACAATGATTTTTTCCAGTATTTGGGGTGATATAAAAAAATTGGGGCACATTGAGAAAAAACGCGCGAACATGTATACCTTAATTTTTTATTATATTGGACACGTGTAAGAGCGTTTTGAGTTTTGCGACAACTCGTCCAACACCATGTACCGGTTTTTCTGAAGCTAGTCACATACGTATTTAGAAATGTATTAGTGGAAACTTAATTTTCGTAAAATTTATAAATATTTAAGTATGTTCGTGTCTACCTTGCCAAAGGTAATTAATTACACATAACCACGTATATGTAAACTCGAAACATGACGCATTTGAATATACATACATGGAATTTTTCTAAATACATCGATGCTTTCCAATCCATTTGCCATGTGAGTATGGAAACACGAAAATGTTTGATGTATTTAATTAGTACGAAAATTTTAGTGCGAGACCATTCCGTCAAACTATCGATAAGCTCGGTAGGCAATCTACATTAATATTTAATTTAACTGATATTTACATAAATACATATTCACAAAGCGTTTGTGTAGTTGAATAAAATCGACATCTGTCATCCATCTTGAGAAGAAATCTGTCAACTAAATTGGTCTAGGGCAATGAAAGGCAAATATGAATATCTTATCTATTTAGGGTTGACGATGAGACGAGATGAAATGAGATGGACCTGCATGTGTAATTTCATAGCATCCAGCGCAGTAGATTAATGTCCACTATGCAAAAGTTGGACATTTATCGGTGACATCGAGCAAGTATTAAATGAAAGTCAGGTGGTGGGATATTTCTCCTCATTAAAAAATATGACGGTAGTGAACGGCGTGGCCAGGAGGGAGGCGAATTGAGACAACATTTATGTCAGTGTATGACTTTTCTATGGTAGTACAAGACTCCTCGGTCCAGTGGGGAGATTTTATCAGTTACGTATGTGAAGTTGGAACCGGTTATGGGAAAAATTGAGACTCGAAATGACACAGTATGTACATGCATTATTCGCACCCCACAAAATGAGCTTCTACATCTACACGACCTGACAGTGACATAAAAACGTCGCCATGCCTCCAGTGACCTAAGAATAACCTAAATCTGTCCGATGATTCCAGTGACCCTAAACTGATCTAAATCTGACGCCATGGCTCCCTTGACAACAAAATGGTTTAAAAATGTCGCCATGCTTCCCGTGACCTCAAAATAGTCTTAGAATGTCGCAATGCCCCCGATGACGGAAACATGAACTGAATTTATATATGAGGCGAAAACGCACTTACAAAATCCTGCGACATCGAAAATACATAATGCACAATTGCATGCTCTATAAGAGCCCGCAGACCGGAGTTATGGCGACAAGGTCATTTTTAGGTCACTGGAGGCATGGGGACAGATTCAAGTATTTTTAGGTCCGTCGAAGCATGCCGACATTTTTTCGGTCACTGGTAGGTCATGGCGAAATTTATTACTTAATTTACGGCAGCGGATATAAGCTTATTTTTGGGGTGCGAATAACGCATGTGCACACTGTATTATTTTTTCGAGTCTCAATGTTTCCCATAACCGGTTCTAACTTCACAGACGTAGGTCAGTTGGTGGTGGATCTCGTGGCGGCTTCATTCTAGAGAACCGGCTGGAAAATATTAAGAAAACCTTGAGAACAAAGGTGTCTACTCTCGTGACCTGAAATAGTTAAAAATATGGAACAACTGTTGGATAGAGTTAATTCATTAGAATTAACTGTAGCACGATTAATAAAATGGACAAATTTTCAACACGGTATTGGATTTAACAGTGAACAATTTATTTACCACTTACTGATTGCATTCAAAGAAACTCTATGTAATCTGTAATGTGTAATCCAACAATTTTTTTATCTACAGAGAATGACGACATCATTACGAACAATTTAAGCTTGTCATCATCCACCTATAAAAACGGGAATTGTGCTGAAATCAAAATTGAACCCGAGATTAAATTGGAACAGGAAAATTGCAACGTTATTCTTCCCTCATCTTTCGACGAGATTGAGGAGGGTGAAGTCCGACCAGTCATTAATCTGACTGATAACCCGCTCGGCGACAGTATTTTAGCCCCTAATTATTCATCCGCACAGCTCAATTTCCAACCACAGGTAGGGTTACGTCTAAAGTAACGTTCTTATTACGCTAAACTTTTAGTTTTTAATCACCACCCTCTAGCAATTACCATGCGTAACTAAATAACTTAACGACTGGACCCTTTCCCCCAAACGTAGCTTTACGTTACTATCAAATTTAGCGTCGCATGATTATTCGACTCACCAACAGTTGATCATATCTATGTGCTCTCATACATGTTCAAAAAATATTTATTTATTCAAAGTTCATTCAGTCAAAGCCTTGAAAAAGTATTAATTCCTTATTCACTCATGTAAAAAAATATTAATTAATTATTCAATATTTATTCATTATTCACCATTCCTTCATTATTCATTTTGTTAAAAATTCACAGTATTAGATAAATTTCTTAACTTTCCTTATGTATTAAGCATTGAGTAAAAAATGAATGATGAAAAATATTAATTCATTATTCATTCACAAGAATTGAAAAATATTCATTCGATATTGGTTTATTCAAAAATCCGAGTGAAATATTCAATCAATATTAATTCAATTTTTGAATATTAGATGAATAATTTCTTCATTCATCATTAATTGAGTGAATGTGAACATGTATGTGTGCTCTAAAGAATCATAAATTCGGCTTAAGTCTTCAATTCTCACAATTTTAATTCTCTTTTAGGTATTCATAGGTGGCCCAGCAACAAATTTATTCACAAGTACGTCCTTGCCATACCCTCAGCCCCATCAACGACCAAATAATTCACAAACTAAACGACGGACACAAGTGGATCGTAATCTGAAGAAAGCTGTCCGGACTTCCCGTATCGAACGCAAAAATCTAGCTGCAAGATCTTTGTACCAAATTCCTTGTCCGTCTTGTGGCAGAAAATTCACAAAGAGGCAGCACATGAAGAGGTAAGGGAGCAAACGAGAAACAGACGGCGGATATGTATGCATTTATAATTTTTCATACCAAATCAGATCGTACTAAAATTTCGTGTATACGGACATCCCGATCGCACAAATTCAAACATATCTAGTTTTCCATATTATAGGGTTTTCGTGTATTACATACCTATGTTTATACATATTTTGAGGATTTTTCGATACATATTTTCGTGTATTTTCAAGTATTTTTCTAAATATAAATTGTTTAGTAGATATTAGTCGAAGTTTTTTATGTAAAAATATTTTTCTCCATTCAGCAATTAAGGTTTCCTCAAAATTATATTTCATGAAGATAGTAGAAAACTTGAGATGAACAACATGTTTTATGGACATATTTTCAGGTTTATTAAGCACATACTTATTATATACATATTTTGCAGAATTTAAATACGCACATAAATATCCGCTCTCTGGTCTTAAAATGTGAATTGTCGCATACAATAATTTAATTACATTATTTTCCTTTGCGTAGACACCTTTCTGACGTCTGCCAAAAGACAGTGTTCCAATGTCGCTTGTGTAACAGGACGTTCGTCGAGAAGTCTGAACTCGACCGCCATCTGGGACGCAGACATTTAAAAGATCAATTTCATTGTGTCCGATGCACCGTTAATTTTTCCAATCATGACGAACTCGATTCTCACATAAGGTCCACCCATCCTGACACACACAAGTGCTCCATTTGCTGGAAGGAATTTAAATACAAAGAGCGTTTAACGGCTCATGAGAAAGTGCATAAGTAAATAGCTGATAACAAAGTTTGATCTCATAAATTGATTTGACAACGGTATGATATGACAAGTGCGTCAGCAAGGAGAACTCCACAAAAATAAACCGTTACAACGCATGTAAGCAAGGGGTGAAAGAAGTGTGTCACAGTATCCATCTTCGAACTCGTCCTGTCCATTGACGTTACGAGTTTACGTTCAAAATTTCAAGTCTGTATGTCCTTCCGTTCAAAAGTTATCGGACCGACGGACGGACGGACGGACATATCGATCTTATAAAGGGCTTTCACCCCTTAATAAATCCAGGATGTAGAATTTCTCCTTCGCTAATATTTTTTACAATAATAATTTACGTAGTGTATGCAGCATATCTGTTGTACCAAAATTCTGTCTGTATTTAATAAAATGTGTTACGGATTGAAAAATCCCATATTTGTACGACTGGTATAAATTACTTGTTTTGCTTATCCTACATTAACATTCAAGCATACACTGTTAAAAATCTGGCTGAGTCACAGAAACTCTGTCTTGGAATTGGTTTGGTAATAATTCAATACAGGATTGGTAATACATAATTGGTTCCTGAGTGGTAGATTTTTCATTACCACAACACTACTGAAGGGTAATTCCCGTTATTACCGATGCCGGTTAAGTCACATACGTACTCCGATAATGATTTAATCCCAGTATTCTAAGAGTGATATTTATGTATGCACATCTTCAAGTAAATACATATACATACAGTGCCCAAACTTGCCTGGCCCGGCTCTGGGGATTTTTTAGGCCCGGCCCCATTTATTATTTGGCATTTGTGCGTGAAATTTTGAGTCTAAAAAGGTATCTTTAAAACAATTCTGATCGTAAGCAAGTCAGCAACAGAATTAACAAGATGTCAATATATTGATTGTGTTGACTTCAACCACTTCTTACTTCAACGTTACAGAATTATGATTGTGCAATCTTTTTTGGAGGCGAAATTATTTATAACCACTTCGAAATCAAAGGCATTCAATCGTTCTTGCCAATTGTTGACCTCAGATAATTCTTGATTATTTTCATCTGCAAAATGGCCCCTCATTTGACGGAACAGAAATGGGCAGACTGAGAAACATCCTCAGTGCCATCTCGAAGTTTAGATACGCACACGCGAGACCATTAATATGTATATATGTAGAATTTTCAGGATATCCAAGGGTCCTAGTTTAATTAGGTCTTTTTCAACTTTGTTAAACGCCGACATAGTAGTGCCCAGACTTTGAACTTCGTTTAAAAATGTAGGGCCGCAAAACCCGCATGGGTACAATTTGCGTTATTATACCTTACGCGCTATAAAGTTTGAAAATTGAACTATTTAAGAGTTTTTAAAAAATATTTTGATTTGTTCTTCGAACTATCATTTTCACCGAAGGACCTGGTATGCATCTGCATTGTGTACAAATAGGTGCAATAGCTCCAGATTTTTTAATGTCTTCGGTGATACAAAATCTACCCGGTACGTTTCTTTATTTGGTCAGCAAAAATATCGAAATCGAAGTTGGGCTTATCATTTTGACTGCACAATTTCCTGCTTTAGTAATTTAGTAAAATCAAGCATGTCCTGTTTTCGCCCTGTGACAATGTGACATAGGGTCTTACACAAAATTTTCAGGTTAGCGACGAATGGTCGACAAACGTTTCGTCGAAACCTGATTAGTCGACAAAACAGATATGTGGTCGGCAGAAAATTGGTCGAAACAGTGTATATGTCGAACATGTCATACTGGTCCCCAACTTAAAGTGGTCGACAACATATTAGTCGACCTACGTTACAAGTTTTAAGTAATCCTTGCATGGGAAGATGTATAATTTTATTACTACTTATCCAGAAATTCTGCCAAAAGATAGCATTATATCGATAAGTGAAAATTGCAGTCGCATAAGTTAAAAATATTACCATATTTGATCCAAATTAACATTTTTCTATCACGGTATGTAGACTTAGAATTGATACGCCGGGCTTGTTTCTCCCAGATTTTTTGCAACATGCACAATTCCGCACATCTATCAAATACACAAAGTTTTAGTTCAAAACTCGGGCCGATAAGAAAAAAACCATCGTTTTTAATTTTAAAATAATTACTTAAAACAACTCCATTTCCCATAACAGAATAATGCGTTATGCAGGAAGACTGCAAATCAATTGATTTCGATGTGGATATGGAATAGTTTTATTTATTTTGAAGTTAAAAATCGATGATCGAGTTTTTAATTGAACTAAAGGTTACTCATGTTTCAAAAAAATCTGGGAGAAACACGCCTGCCGAACCCATTGGTACCGAAATCGTGAAGACAAATATTTTGTCGACGAGCTGAGATTGGGGACCAGCTGGTTATCGACCAATATGATGTTGACGAGACAGTTTGTCGGCCACCCACTCGTCCGGAGCCCCAGATTTTCAGCTTAAATTCTACCTTTTATTCCAAGGTAGGTACATAACCATTATGAGCTATTGTTCTTTTATGATCGACAATGTGATGACATAGGTGCCTTTGCAGATTCGACATTTAAACCCAATGTGGCTGCTCAAAATCTTAGAAGCAATTAAGGACTTGTGATAGGTAGCGAACTTGTTCGTACAATAATTTTAGTGGACACAACTACCCGATACCTTCTGGGGATTACACCTGCCCTAGCTTTTTTAGTGTTTTCGGAGAGGTAAAAAAGGTTATGATGCATTTTTTACTTGGTCAGCCCAAGTAAGAATGCATAGATTGGGCTTATAATTTTCACGCCATAATTTCTCCATTTTAATAATTTGAAAGAATCAAGGATAAATTATTTTAGGCTCACAAAAGTGAAAAAAGTTTTTTTTAACTATGTTTTAATTTTAGGGTAATTATTGTTTATTTCTGTTCGATATTGGCACGCTACGAAATTGCTCAAAATCTTCGAAACGTTTAAATAATTTTCCGTGAAATTTTGTAGTGGACACCAGGGCCCGGCCCCCTTCGGGGCCCGGCCCTGGGGAAAACCCCCACCTGGCAGCCCCTCGTAAGGGCCCTGTATACATATGCATACGTATGTAGATATATACATATGTAAATACTAAATATGTACATATTATTTACATAGCCGGATTGCATAGTCATGTTTTAACAGAGAACTGGTCGTGGCTACTTTATTTCACCAGAGCACCTTTCATTTCAAGTGTTGAGTAAGTTTTTTTCTTCTTTGAAGGGAACAATCCAATATTTTTCGACTTGACGAGAAGTGAAGGGTCTAATAGTGGACTTACACCATTGACTGGGCTTACTCACGACAACTGCTCAAGTATTTCGCATCGAAACTCATTTAGCAAACTTGCGAAGATCAGAATAGTTGTGTCTTGAGGAGATTCGCATAATGACTTCGCAAATCTGGTCTTGAAAGCTCAAATCAATCTTGAAAACCCAAATTTCAAAACTGGTATCTGGACGGAAGCCAGCCCGGCTTAAATAGCTTCGAATGGGAGTAAATGATGTGAATTTTGGATTTTTTTAATGAACTTTTTCTAATATTTTTCAGAGAATCCATCACGAGGAAAGGTTTTCAAATGTGCCTTGTGTCCCCAAACTTTTTTTGTGTGAGACTGGACTGTCTCAGCACATCATAAGCTTCAATAGAGATCCGGTAAACTATGGGTGCACCGATTGTGACAAGATTCTGAGGAGCTTAAACGGCTTGAAGTACCACCTGGCAAAGCACTCAACAAAAAAGGTCGCGTTATCGTGTGAAAAATGCGAGTACAAAACTTTTGTAAAGTTCTGCCTCACAACGCATATCAAACGTGTGCACGAATGCGTGAGGGGAAAGGAATGATATTTTTGTGCGATGAAGTTTATCACCTTTTCTGAATTAGTTAGTCATTCCAGAGTCCATACGACGGAGAAATAAACGGTGACCCATATTAAGGTTCCCATGCATGGCGCATAATCTCACTCCACCCCTATCCAATGTCGTTAATTGGAATTTCTAAAATTCCATGAATCAACTCTATCTATGAGTTTTGAGATAAATGAAACTTTTGACAATTCAATGTAAAGCTAATTTCTGATACTACCAACAATTCGAAAAAATAGCGAATTCATTTGTGAGGAAATTTATGTAGTATGAAAAAAGTGAAAACCAACTGGATAATTTTTTCAAATCGTATTGTTTGTAGTATCAAAAATTTGCTTTACATTGAAATATCAAAAGTTGCATTTATCTCAAAACGCGTCATCCATGTGAACCTTAATCTGAATAGAATCTGTTCGTGCTGGAACAATTTTTGTAACAATAAGTTTAATATGGTTTGATAGAATGTATTAGCTTATGCTGTTTATATGTACGCAAGGTAGCTTACCTTGCCAATGGTGTCATTAACGGAAATTGCTCCATTGACATGGAAGCTCTTAATTCAAATATATGTACACTCAAAATAAGGTAGTAATGAATCACGCGGAATGATTATGTGGCTCTACCACGTCGGTTACGATTTGTCGTAGAAAGGGGTAATAATAATTTCAGGGAAATTCAAATTTATTACCAAATATTGAGGAAATGAATACCATTATGTATTAAATTTTAATTTCCCTGAATTTATTAATAATAAATTATTATTACCATTTCTACGATAAATCGTAACCGACGTGGTAGAGCCACATAGTCATTCCGCATGGTAATGATTCATTACAACCTTATTTTGAGTGTATGTAATAACTATAAGTATGTATGTACCTGCTTCTAATTTAATAAAAAATTTTACAATTTCCTTTTAATGTTACGAAAACATGATTTATTCATTTATTTCGCAATTTTTGGAAACTCAACAATAAAACGGGCTCATAATTTACATTTCGTAATTTCACTTCATTTCAGGACTGCTTTACGGACATTTTCTGAACTCCCACCATTGTGCGGGGTCGGATGGCTGAAAAGCGACTGTTTCCAGCAGTACTCCCCCGTTTGGAGAAGGAGTGCTGTAAATTAGATATAAACGTCGGGATTCTTTGTAGAATAATAAAAAACCAACTGTACCCGGTATTACGAAGGCTGCCCCGATCATTAAGTCCAGCCCAGTGCCGATTATTTAAATTCCAGTAATTGGTACCGTTCACACGCTTCAAATACCAATCGCCATGCTCATATACGTTAAAAAATTCCCCAGCAACCTCAAAAAATGAATTACAAACATTAACGAAATTCCCGGGCAACGTTCGTTTAAAAAATTACTTCCAAAGCTAATGGATATTTCATTAACAAGATTGAAATGTTAGAGGTATAAAAGTGAATCAACTATTCAACAGAATTATCACAAACAGCCTGCTACTCAGCTCCACAAGTACATGAAATAAGTAAAGGTAGGACTATGGTAATTGTCAAAAAAATATTAATCGTACTTTTACTTCACATGGGAGAAGTAATTTCCCAAAGTACTGGATTAAACTGTGAATCGATACTTCTACCCGAGGTCTGTAAATAAATATGTAACTGTAATTTGGAATATTGGTAATTATTACGGGGTGAAGCGAAGCGAAATCCATTTATGGAAATGTCTTGTCTGTCCGTCAGTATCCACGATATCTTTAGACTGGATTCAAATTTCGACATGCACTTTTCGCCAACATGTTTCTAATTTTTGAAGTACGCATGAGTTAGAAGATTGGTGTCGTAGGTCATAAGGTCACAACGCCACGGTGGTCAAAGATGTCGAATTTTTTATTAGCTTTGGTAAGTTTTATGCGTTGTTCTCAAGATATTCGCCAACAATATTTTGTTGGACCACGTATATCTGTCTAAATTTAGTAAGCTGGATATGTTAGCGTAAAAGTTTGACTGTGGCCCGTCTTTGAACGGGCTTATTGGCTAGTAATACCTATAAATCTTGTAGCATCAGATCTTTACTGACATTACTAAGGTAAAGTTTTGAAATTAATGTTCTCAGGGCAACGCATTTTTTACCTGCAAATGTTTTACATTAAAGGGAACGCAGGTTTTGTTAAATAGTTGGAAACGGAATGGGGGTGGAATCACAAATGCCAAAAAATGGACACTGGCCTTGTTAGCTTGGACGTTAATAATCATGTAGGATTCCCCAATTTCGATAGGGGGCAGTGTTGTAGTTCCCATTGTAGTAGTTGTTGGCCTAGTTGTTGTGGGCCTTGTTGTTGTGGGCGTGGTTGTTTTGGGCGTGGTTGTTGTTGGCGTGGTTGTTGTGGGCCTGGTTGTTATGGGCGTGGTTGTTGTGGGTGTGGTGGTTGTGGGCCTGGTTGTTGTGGGTGTGGTACTAGAAAAAGAACTAAACATACATACATTTTATAATTATGATATTTTCAACTGTCTGAGCATATTGTTTTATCAAAAGAGTGGCAGAAGAAGGGGAGGGGCAGATTTGAAAAAATCAGGATGTTTGCTTGAAGACTTTTGCAATATGTAAACTAACATAATTAAAACCACTCAATGATATTTTCCTTGCCCGGACGAAGCCTCCGTGGTGACAATGACGCAAGGAGTCACAGCCTCATGGTTGCAGACCGATAAATATTGATCCCACACCGTGCCTGGAGGACAGCATTGTACGACCGCGTCGCCGTTTCCGCATTCAATGAATTTTCTACAATCGTACGGATATGGGAAATAAGTTGGGATACACTCCCAAGGTGGGCATCCCTCGTACTATCAAAAAATAATAAACCGTTGCAAACAAAGTGTAGCAAAGGGGTGAAGCGACACGGTCATGGCACATAAAAATCATGTCGATTTTTGAAATCCCCGCCGATGGCGAAATAAAAAATTCGACATCTTTGACCACCGTGGCGTCGTGACCTTATGACCTACGACACCAATCTTCTAACTCATGCGTACTTCAAAAATTACAAACATGTTGGCGAAAAGTGCATGTCGAAATTTGAATCCGTTCTAAAGTTATCGTGGATACGGACGGAAAGACAAGACATTTCCATAAAAGGATTTAGCTTCGCTTCACCTCTTAATAATTACCAATATTCTAAATTACAGTTACATATTTATTTACAGACCTCCGGTAGAAGAATCGATTCACAATTTAATCCAGTACTTTGGGAAATTACTTCTCCCATGTGAAGTAAAAGTGCGATTAATATTTCTTTGATAATTTCCATAGTCCTGCCTTTACTTATTTCGCGTATTTGTATAGTTGAGTACCAGGCTGTTTGTGATAATTCTGGTGAATAGTTTATTCACTTTTATACCTCTTACATTTCAATCTGGTTAATGAAATATTAATTAGCTTGAAGTCTGTCAAGATAAAAGTGAAATATTTCAAGCACAAAATAAATGATGAATTGGTATGATTGGTGACTTGCATCTTGACCAGACTAACAATGCGACGGTGTGAGGTGGTTGCTCAACACCCTGTCACTCTGAAGTTCAAAGTTTGAACTGAACACAGATTGTAATCTGACCACCTTTGAAATTAATAAATTGATTGATGATGCTTTATTATTCGGTCCACAAGTTCACAATGATTAAATACGTAAGCCATGCTCCTCCAAAAGCGACAGTTTTGACATACTAATTAACTTATGTACTTAGAAATTGCATTAAAAATATTATAAAGTGGTCCACAATACTTTTCTTGTCACATCCGCTCATGTTCTTGGAGTAGTGTTGGGCGAAGTGTTCGTTCCTAAAAAATCACGACATTTCGCCGAATTGATTAATCTTAATGTGTTTTTTGCCAATGTTGAGCAAAATGCATGACCCTGAAGTACGAATTTTTTGATTGACGTTGACAGTACTTGACATTTTCTATGCGTTAGAATAATAAGCTCTAGCCCGGCGGGAGACGGGCTTATACACTAGTATTAAATACCAGGATTTTATAACATAATTTAGACTCGTAGAATCACACCTCTTGAGGGTTTTGCTTTTAAATTTCCAATGTTCGGGGAGAATTGCCTTCTCGGACTGAGGAAAATTATATGTAACATGACAAGGTTTTAACTAGGTTACTAGTCTCATGAGACCAAATTTTCATATTTCAATTTGTGTACAGTTTGATTTAGGGTAAACAATTAACTCAATTAAGTTTGATTTTGGAATTGCCACGGGTACATAACCCCGGGATCGGGTTAAGATGGTGTAATTATAAAATACCGATCACAATTCTTTGTGTTGAGATAATAACAAATCCGCACGAAGCTGGTTGGTAGAACACGTACATAATTGCCAATTCATACAATAGTCTTAACTGTACAATTAGACCCGATTTTGTATGCATTTATTATCGAAGAAAGAGTATAAAATTCCGACCATCTCCATCACGTTGTATGCAGATATTAAGTATTTTCTGTAAAAAAGTAATCTGCCCATTGAATGGACACGTTGAAATTACATTTCTACGATGAGATTAAATTTTCTTTTCACTGGAAAAGTCTCCGTTCCAATGACACTCCGCATAATATACAGTAATAATAAGTATGTAAGAAAGGAATAAAGAGAGAAGCAAAAACATAAATTTTCCCATCATTCAGACCCATATTACACAGGCCTGACTATAAATAGTTATGCATATACACATCGTATCATTTACGTAGCATAAATATAATTGCACGCATTTGTAAAAAGTTTATGCATTCACTTCATGAAACAGGAAACCTCATGACATGCTAAAAAAACTGTTGCCCCAGTTTTGTTATCTCTATTTGTGTAATTGATAACAGGAACAGACAGCACTTTTGTCTGATAACTAGTTAAGAGAATATTTAATTGTTGTCCAAGCATTGTCTCAGTGACACCGATTCAGTGTGCAAAAACGGTTTTCCCTCCAACTCCAGATAAGGGATTACATTTTACGAACTTCCAATCAAGGTGTGGTTAAAAAAATGTCACAAGTACAAGAAAGGCGTTATTGGAGAAGGGTGCTTTGCATCATACCAGGAGGTATTGGTTTTACTTATTTTAAGGCGAAGATGTTGCCTCTACCCAAAATTTGAATTCTATTCGAACTTGTACAGTCGAAATAAACCTTATGTTTGTGCTTAACAGGCGAGAATTTTGATAGCAATGAACGCAGAGGTTGTTGGCATTTGCATGTGCCGAGAGCGATGTTGCCCCAATTATGGATTCAAATAGGTGGACTGACAAATAATCGGTTGCTCGGGTATAGAGCGTCACGTTGTATTTTCCCTCGAAGGTTTAACGAATTTCTGTCATATTACTTGAGCATTTACAAAATATTATTGATCATTTTTGTGCAGGGCAAATCGGAACATTTACGTAATTTGTTGTTTCTCAATGGATGTTCATAAAGATGAGCTTCATCAGAAACTCATTGACCGCGGTTTTGGTGAGTATATTCACCATTACACCGATATTCGGGAATACCGGGGTCAGGGTGAAGAAGCAAGTACTATTGAGCAAGAATACGACATTCATGACATAAGCATGGAAATTGTTAACGGTGCTGAAGAGTTTGAATTAGTCGAATAGGAGAAGTACTAGTAGTAGTATGCAGTCTTTTTATGCGAATAAAATGCGGCATAAATATGAGCTTACTTTTATATAATAGTTTACTTTTGGCTTTCCGAGTTAATGTACATACATATGTACATACAGAGCTGAACCAGACCAAACGTACTACAAAACTCTTTTCCATATTTAGCAGAAGCAGAGTGAGACTCGGACTCTGGTGGGTATCCACCACCACCGATGACTGTCGATTCGACAGTGCTGTATAGTGGTCTGTCTCACTTGTCACTTTCTGACCGGAAATATAAATTCAAAAAAGCTTAAGTTTTAAATTTTGGGCGAATTGGTAATTCAGCATCACAAATTTTAATAACTTCAATTATGTCTCATTTTCTCATGAGTGACAATAGTTTGTTACGGCTCTTGCAAAAATAAGTCCCTCCCCCAGAAACTTTGACCAAAAAAACTCATGGTTCCCACACTTTGCAGTCTGACAACAAAAGATTAAAATGTTCGTCTCTGGAGAAGAAAAATCTGGCATTAGGTTGTCAGACTGCAAAGTGTGGGAACCATGAGTTTTTTGAGGATTTGTATGTACGTAAAAAAACCGCGAATTTTCAAATTTTGAAACTCGTGATGCATAAAAATGTTCGTATTCAAGGGGGAAATAGGATGTCAAATACAAGTCGATGTCTAATTCTTACTGTACGCTGTATACATTGACTTTCTCATTTTTCAAATTTTATTCCCCCATTTTTGGAGGGGGGTTAGATGCACATATTTCAAAAATCGTTACGTACCAGATAACAATTCGCTCTGAATTCTCTTATGTTTCGATATTACATTCGCTTTGACATCGATATCGAATTCGCCTCGAATTTCCAACTTTCGAGATAAATTCGAGGAGATATCGAAGGGAAATGTCCGCCGATTCGACAGGGAATCGATGGAGAATCGTATATCGATTTCGCCGGTAAGTCTTCGCGATTTCGTCTTGAATTCGATGAACATGTAAGAGTTTATAACGATTTCTAAACGAATTCAATGCGACTTCTCCACGAATTTAATGCGACTTCTCCACGAATTTAATGCGACTTCTATACGACTTCACTGCGAATTAAGTAATAAATCGATACGATTTCTCCTATATTTCGAGTTAATCCAGCTTATAGTTTATTTTATTTATTTTAAATATTATGTAATATACATAACCGTTTCTATTAAAATAAACATAAGTTGAATAATCAGATGACCCTGGTAGTGAAATTGGCCGCTATGTTAAGTCACTTCCTATTGAAAATATACTAATGTTATTCCTAAAATCTTTTGCAACAGTTATTATCGATAGTATATATTTGTACCTCATACGCTTCCCAACTCTATCTGCGACTTTCTTAAGAGATTTTTTGTATTTCTTCGTCAACTGTGCCCTCGTCTGTATAATTTGGAGTCCTAGGGTGAGCTGCTACCGCATCTGAGATTAACATATTTTTAAAATGTTTTAGAGTGTTGCACAATGAGATTCCATTTTGAGGAATTTTAAATTCAAGGGACCAATTTTGGATACTATGTCTAATATCAAAAGTATCAATTTCACCTTCACTTTCTGAGCTAATAGTTTCAGCTGAACTTACTTCCGACTTCAATTTCTTCCAGATCTTCCTCGAACACTTGTTCTGAATAAATGTTTTCCCTTTCGGCCTGGACTAGGTCACTATTAGTATCACTATAATAGTGCTTTTAGAAGTCTTCTTTTGTAGCGAGCACTCAACTGAAAAAGTCGTCTCCTTCCCATGAGGAACGATTTGAATGTGGCAGCTAAAATTACTTAAAAATACAATAACAGCGTGAAAGAGAGAAATCACAGTGAATTCTCTAAGAATTATTTACGAATTCGAGATTCAAGGCGAACAGTTTATAGTCTCCTATTCCTGTAAGAAGAATTCCTATCGAAATCGGGGAGAATTCCTCACTACAGTAACAGCGAATTCGTTTAAGAATTCATAGTGAAGTCGTTTCGAATTCGATAGAAGAATTCTCTGAGAATTCGAGTCTAATTCATTACGAATTCTGAAATGAGCGTAATATCGAATTTAGATACGAATAATTACCGAATTCGATGCGAATTCGATACGAGAATAACAACGAAATCTGAGAGAATTCGAGTTCTCTGTTTTAACGCGACATTCTCTGCGAATTCTCTAAGCGAATTCATAGCGACCTGTTATCTGGGGTTATATATATCCTTGCACCAGGAATTCAATTTACAATTTTTTAAATTAAATTCGGTGACATCGACGCGAAAAGGATTTGTACAGTACACTTGGTCTTTATCTACATGCATTAATGTGAGAAAGAATAGGATTTTACAGATTCAAATAATTCAAATACCCACTCAACTTGCGATACAAAATTTTTATTTAACCCACTTAAATCATTTCTGATGCCATACTTTTAAACAAGAGCACCGATAAGCCATGCAAATATGCAGTCATTCTTGTCAACAGTAAATCAACAAAAGACAACATATTTATTGCAAACTCTATGTACATACACTTAAAACAAAAATTTGTCAAATCAACACCGCAGGTGTCTATATATGACTTAACCGCCTTGGTTAAAATTTTTAACCCGAGTTGTGATGATTTTGATACCGGTAGTTATAATGTTATTACCGGACGGAAAAAATTCATACTACTCGGAATCACAATTGTAACCAAGGTGGTTAAGTCATATACTGACACCGGCGGTGTTGATTTGACAAATTTTTGTTTTGAGTATATAGAAGTACGTACCCATATACATATGTATACAGTCCATTGCGGTAGGTTACAACTGATTAACTTGAGTATTTATATACATTAAAAATTAACTTGCACAAAAACTGTGGAAAGAAAAGTAGAGATCTTAACGCAAGGAGTGGAGGATTCAGTATGTTGAGAAGCAAGGCCTGAGCTACTGCTTATGTATAAATAGGGAACTGAGACAATGTAAATTCAGACACAGTAAATGTCTCGACATGGTGTACCGCCACGTCGACACATTGACAGGACTATACCGATATAAACTGGACATTCTAACCTAAAGATGCATAATTGTATGAAAAGCTACATTAAACAGAAGGGTCATACATATGTCTTTAATACAATGTGACTTGATTTCTTCATCAACGTATGTATATTGTATTTCGGGATATAAAATAAAATGAATATAAATCGAACTTGTCGTGACTAATTTGCAGTAAGCTACTTTTAGTGTATATAAAACGTGGCTGATTCAATTTTTATACGTATGTACATTGTACATGCGTATTTTGAAATGTATTAGGACCTTATTTTTCGTAAGATTTATAAATATTTAAGAGTGTTCGTGTCTCACTTGCCAAAGGTGATTAATTGCAAATAAACAAGTATGTACAATCGAAACATTGCGAATTTGAGTATGTATGGAATTCTTCTAAATAGATCGCGGCTTTCCAATCCATTTGCCAAGTAAGTATGGAGACACGAAAATGTTGGATGTTATTAATTAGTACGAAAATTTTACTGCGAGACCCTCCCACCAAAATATCTAAGCAGGATAAGCCCGGTATGTCTACATATACATATAACAGATATATTTATAAATCCATTTACAAATTAGTAGTTGGAGTGTAAACTAATCAATTTCAGAAGCACGGGGTTACAAAAGGCGTGCCGAGATGTTTTTGCCGAATTCATAACCTAATTACGGGATGGTTCTTACAATCGAGGCTCCCAACGTATGCTCACAGATTTGAACCAAACTAGCGTCAATCGATCACAAATATGATTAGTATGAAATTTGTAAATGGAACTATCTGCCAATGCGCAGGTTTGGCGGAGGTATTTGCACCAAGGCGGGAAAAATGCGGAGCAAATTTGGAAATTGACAAATTTGACAGCCTTGGGGGTGCGTATTCTCCTTTTTTTATGCAAATATCTCCGCCAAACTTGCGTATTGGCAGATAGTTCCATTTGCAAATTTCATACTAGTTATATTTGTGATCTATTGACGCTAGTTTGGTTCAAATCTGTAAGCATACGTTGGGAGACCTCTATTGTTAGTTGTAGAGATTTCTAACGTTTTTTATGTGAAATCCCATATCAAACTACATATAGGTGAACGTATCCTTGAGATGTAATAGCCTACTTGGTAGGGTATCTCATTGTATTAATAAATAAATAAATAAATAAATATCCGCCTTCAGGTTTTGTGTACTCTGGGAGATGACGCAAGGTCAAATTTGGAGAGGTGTCCTTATTTAATTTTCTAAATCAGTGTTCTTACCAAATGGCGTTGAACAAAAAATGTTGTTTATTAGGTCCTGATGCAAAAATTGTCTTTGCCACTATTGTCAAGGGACTTAGCATGCTTTTCACTATATAAAATCACTTTTGTCTCATGTTTATCTTTGTCCCATTTGTAGTGTACATAACTTCATATAAACTTGTCCTAATGGAATGCTCTTGTTAGCAGAACTCCTCCACTATTAAGGCCCCCACATTTTACAACTTTGATGCAACATAAAAATCTCTAACGATGTTTTTCTCCAAGGTACATATTCTAGTATATTCGATTGTACATAGTCAGAAACACTCAAGTGTCAACGGCTGATTTCACGAGAAGTACTCATTAGAATTAAAAACGGGTACGCACATTGGAAATGAAATGCGATTTCGATTCCGAATCACTTTTCAAATTATTCGAAAAAATGGCCCAAATAGAAATTGTTGCGTTGTCAGGGTTTCGAAATGCTGTAACCATCATACGCTTACTACTTCTCAAAATTGGGAAAGATTAAAAACCCCAAAATTTTTCTTGTGAGGTACGCGAAATTTGTTATCTTCCGAAGACAGTTTTCCACTTGAGATCTTTCTTACTTTTAACGTAGATATATTACAACCCCTAATCAAGTTGCCTATGCGCTCCATATATGTAAGTTTCCTATCAAAAAATAAAATCCTTAAAAAATATCATCTCTGGATTTGCATGGAGAAAGTTAGTCCAAAAAGGGGAAAAATTCCTTTTTTCTACAGAAATCAGCAACCAAAGCCAACCATGACGCGGAAGTTGGCCTCTTGTATAGTGTAGAATCCAGGATACATGTACTACTAAAAAATAAGGGTTGGACCTTTAAATGGGTAGTTGTTCCAAAATATGATGCAAAAGTTGTCAAAAAGCGGTTTTTTCCTAATTTTGTGACTTTCACACACCGCATGGATATGGCCACAACAAACAGACCACACCCCTTTCAGTAACGACTAAGGGCTTAAATTAAAGATAATCGCATGGTCTAAATCCCTCGAAATAATAAAGGTTTATAAAAAATGATTACTCGTATTCCCGAGCATTTTTTTCATGAAAACTAGTGCGTACTTTTGGCAGGGCCTGTTTGTCTCTTTTTTAATTGGCAATTTTCATATAAGATATTAATTTTGATGATTGAGCATTGTTTCTGGATTAGAATTTCATTGGCTTTCCAATGAAGGTAACCAGAAATTGATAAATAGAAAATTACAATATTTACAGCGTATTGCATCATTGACACTTGAGTGTTTCCGACTATGTACTTTTGACGAAATTCTGACAAGTGCTTACACCCCATGAAATGAGTCTTCATCGAATTCGATATTTTTTTCCAAGGTTTTCCTTCCAATCGTAGCCAAGCAGCAGAAATCTTATCAAAGCGTAATAACTTTATTATTACATATGTATATTATCACTTTTACCTCGTTCATCAAATGATTTTCGGCATTTGAAATTAAAACGTTACTAAAATTCTTTTTCTACAAAATTTGACAACTCATTTTCCAAATCAGTTCACCAGTTTTTTCAAAATTCCGTGTCAGTTAATTAGCTCAGGTCTTTCTCCAAAACAGGTTACCCAAAATCCTAACTGCTTAGAACACTTCCAGCTGTACCTTCAATCTTCATTTGACCCAGTGGATCCGCTTTCAAGGTCAGCAGGTAAATTTTTAGGTGCACGGTCTGATTTATCATTTTCACTGATTTATCACGAAAAAATATCAGCGATGATGGAAGATCAACGTTATCTAATTCATTGCGGAAGCTTATATTATTGCATGCAACGATTATCTATGGTTATCATATCATTAATTATTCACCTCTTAGGTTATCATGCTATATGATAAATTAAATTCGGAAAGTGTGTTCTTAGCACCTTCCAACTCTGGGGGCTCTGAAGGTTAAATTTGCGAAGCTCTGC